CAAGTCTAACTCCATCACAATGATAACCGTCCGGCACGATTGACCCATCAGGCATCATCTCCCCAGGTTCACGCGGCTCCGCGCTGGACTTTTTCATCTCCACGTCGACAGGCGGCTCCTTCTCCTGAGCAGGCGGCTCAATGGGGTCTGGTGCAATGGATGGTGTGTACTCCAAATCGGATTGTTGTGGAATGATCGGATCGGGTATCGGAGGAATAACGCGATCAGCAATTGGCTCTGGAGGTGGCTCTAGGCTGTCTGCTTTGGCTTTCAGCGGAAACACATGGGTTTCAGAGGGCAACTCCAATCGCTTGGTGCGTTGAATTACAACGCTGCCATGTTCCAAGTGATAGTCGATGGCTTCAAGCTTCGTGACAAGATACTCCCCTCTCCACACAAAACCAGGCTGAATGTGATATCCTAGAAATACCCCTTCATTCGAGGTCGGCGAAAGTTTGCCCGCGGTGTTATCTGCCCGGTCAGGGTTGTTCCAAAACAGCACTTTGGCACCGAAAGGTATGCACATCCCATTGAACTCCGCACCGAACCTCAGTGACCATGGACTGTCCCCCCCTGACAACTGCGGGTTGGCATTGACGGCAATGGCAAAATGCTGCATCGCCATCGGCCACATGCACAAAGGCATCCCTGCTTGAACAAGGTTGAATCGAGCCCCTTCCAGCATTTGGCGTATCTCGCGTTCAACAAACGATTTGCTGGAGTCCACGTACTCTATTGATGTTTGATGCCTATAGCCAAGTTCCTTGATAGCGGCCTTCAACTCCCGACTATTATCCGTGTAGATCACCTCAACATCATCTTTCCCGTTGACGAAGTGATTGATGGCGAATGTACACTCTTCGGCAAATCGAGATTGGCTTAATTGGGTACACATACCGGAATTGCGTGTGGATGTCTTTGATGACCAACGCGACCTTCTCACCTTTCAGGCCTTCTTCCACGTTTGCTTTAATAAGCACGTGATCGGCAATGATATGGTCTCCGAATCGATTTGTGTCAACCCTTGCTTGTCCACCTTTGGACCTGGCATATGGCGCTAGCATGCGTGCCCTTTGGCACGTACGACAGAATGGGTTCTTGGGGAAATGAAGAAATTGGTGCTTGGACGATTGGGCTTCGACGATGAGGTCGGCTGTTTTCCTGCTCCTCACCGCTACTACTTCTTCATCATCCGGGTTCACGCCTTCATCGATCCCCTCTTCTTCATCCCTAATGGACTTGGAAACGCCGGGCAAGGCTAGAAGCTTGCGAACCTTGGCTGGCTTGAAGGACTTTGTGCTGACAACGGGACATGAATCATCCAAAATGGGAACATGACCATCAACTTTCAGGACGACTGCCTTTCCATCAGGACGGACAAGGAACGGTGATGATCCTGCCGGCCAGACGAAGCTGTACCCCTGGTCCATGCATCTTGCGCCAACCGAAAGAACCGACGGTGTTTGCTCTAGTATATACGGAGTGATGGACCCTGGCAATGTGTTGAGATCGATCTCGGCCACTGCATTGGACTGTGTCGAACCATTTGCTGTGATAAAGCTGATCGGTTGATCCGTGCTACGCCTATTGTAAGCTCCGACTTGGGACAACATGGACTCACTAATCAGGTCTTGCTCGCTTCCAGAGTCGATGAGCCATTGATGGCGACCTTTTGGCGCAGGCGTGGCGACGGTTGGTGGCATCAACACAGTGTGGATCTTGCATGGTGCTAGCAGATTCCTACAGCATTTGCAACTCAGACTTTCGAGGTCATCAACACAATTGAAACCACATGATGGTTGAACCGAATTTCCGAACTGCTTCACCGTTTCTTGCAGTTTTCTGGCTGCCGTTTTGGCATTCAACACATGAATCGGGTCCGATTTCTTTACTGCTTCAGCAGCGGTGAGAACATTGTCATACTTCCTAGGACCATGGATGACTGAGTTGCATCGGCCACGAGCTTTGATCTTCTTTACTCCTACCTTTTTATCGAAGGTGACACATTTCTCATTCTGTGCTGCCCTTTCTTTCGTTGGGCTACGATCCGAACCGTGCTTGCGGCGAGTAGCGCTGCATGCATAGCTTGATCGAACACAGGGAGTAGCCGACTTTTTCGGCTTCGGCTCCTTCTTGGGCTTCGGAGAGTTTGGCCGAGCTGGGTCCTTTGGAGCAGCTGCACTCTTCTTTTCACGCAGGTACAGACATTTGTCCCCACGGCGGCAATCCCCACATGCAAAATAGATACACGGAGTCTTTGCCATCTCCTCTTTGTTGAGCTTCTTCTTTGGGTCACGACTGGACGTTCGAGGTGTCCTTTGCCTAGAGGGCGACCTGTCCTTCTTGTCGTGACGATACAGGCAATCTTTTCCCTTGGCACACTTCCCTTTCGCGAAGTCTCTACATGGGATCTTCTTTCTATCAGGAGTTCTTCCCCTTGGGGGTGTTTTCTCCCTTTTGGCTGGGGGTACCACGGGAAGTCCGGCCCGATCTTTGGGGTTGTTGGGCTTCGGTTGATTCTTGTCGACGATGCGATCTCGATTCTCCCTAAGCCTTTCACGATCGATCAGGTCTCGGATGGCTTTCACAAGGAACGAATACGTTTTGCTTGGATCACCCTCCTTGGCCCGATCATAGGTGTCAATATCATACTTGAGTAGCGTGCTTGGACGGATCTGACGGAGCAAAACATCACGAAGGACTGTTTCCTCGGGCTCCTTCTTCATACCGGCCAACACCGCATCCCAACGATTGATGAATTTCTTGAGGTCCGCAATGGTATCCCCAAACTTCGCTACCTTCAAAAGGTCTTCTAGTGAATAGAGAGTACCAGCTTCCTCAGATGTTTTGAAGTAATCATCAAACATGAGAAGTACTGTCCGACCTCTGGTCTGATGTCCCTTCTTTGCCTGCTCCTCCTTGTGGTTGAGGATTCGATTTCCCAGGTCACCCCGGGCTGACTTTGTGAGAGCAGCGGTGAGCTTCGTGTCCAAGGTCACGAACTTTCCTGCATTTTGGAGCTTTGCCTCGAGTTCGACACGAGAGAGTCCCGTCCCAAACTTCCATGATCCACTCCCATGCTTCGTCGGGCTTGTCAGACGACGATCGAACGAGCTCACGAACCAGATTCTTCCATTGGCGGTAAGTCTCAGGCGTGGGCATGTCCGGGATAGCAATCGTATCGGCTTCTTTAACCCTTGGCTTGCCTTCATCGTCTTTCTTAGACTTCATCTCTCTAAGTAATTCTGCAAGGCCACTCATCAGCGCGTTGGCTTCGCCAGAAGAAGCCGGGAATTTGCCATCGACTCCTCCATCACCGGCGTGAGACAACCGTTCATCAGCAGTTTCACGTGCATCGACGAAGTGATCGTCCTTGCCCTGGGCGTTCTCCACCGCTGCAGGAAGTGGCGCTGTTGCAGGTGCTTTTGATGGATAGAACTCACCGAGTTTCTGAGCGAACCTTGCATCTAGCCTCGCCTTCCAATCGATCTCTATCGGTTGGGGCATGGCCTCACGGCCTGCTGGTTCGGACAACACTGGGGTAGCCGTTCCTGGCAGGTGACGCGGTGCTTCAGCCTCGTGTGCTGGGATCAGTCCATCAAGTTGATCTTGAAGAAGTGCGTTGGTTTCAGATGCCTTCCGCAGTTCTTGTTCAAGATATTCTTTCTTCTCAGTCCACTCGGTCTCCATGATTTGGTGCTGCCTTCGTTCTTCTTCGAGGAGTGCTCTAGCTTTATTGGAAGCATCCTCTACCATCTTGTCGAACATCTTCTCCAGCTCAAACATCTTCTCGATCATTCTCTGCAAATGAAGCTTCTCAGCTTCTGCCTTCTGCTCCGCCATTCTCTTTTGATGCAGGCTGTCTGCGCTAGCAACTTTGGCCTGACTTTCAGCCAGCTACCCTTCTAGCAAGTTGATCCGACCCTGCATGGCCAGGACTTGTTTGTCGCAAACTTCCTTCATCTGATCAATAGCAACTCTGCATTGCGAACCTAAGGTTTGAATAGTAGAGTTCATGATCTCTCGATGCCTTTGTTCCGCTTCAAAACGGACGGCCTCTTCATTTCCCGAAGCAATCTGATGAACATTGTTCTGGATAAACTGGAAGTACGCTGTGACGCATTCAGACCCCATAACGATATCCTCGGGCACGAGGTTACCCCCGGCGACCGGTACGGTTTCGCCAGAGTATGGGATGAGGGCGAGCGCGGCATTCGCACCATCATCTGTAGCCATGGCAGAGGCTACGGCTGATAACCTGTATTTTCAGGCTCAACCACTAAAATACAATCAAATTCCGCTAAGCTGCAACTGCTTACGCTCCTTTTTGTCGCGATGAGCTGCGTGCTTGAGCCAAGAATTGGCATAGTGCGTAAAAGCTTAGCATTAGGTGATGTATTTCAACAGAATCAAAGGTTTATGGGGTCAGAATGAAAGGCTTTGGCCGCTGAAACGTCGAAAAAGCAATTCGCAGGGGAGTTGCAGGGGCTGGAATGGGAGGTTCCGGTGGAACGGGGTCAAAAAGGAAAGGTTTGCAGGGTCACCTTCCAAAGGTGTTGCCCGTGGCACGGGGTGAAAATGAAAGGTGTGCAGGGTCAGAACTCAACGGTGCTACCCGCAACACGATTTCACAGGGGTTGGAGTGGCAGGGGCTAGAATGGGAGGTTTCCAGGTCGAAATGAAAGATTTTTGGCCGCCCGAAAGAGGGAAGTCACAGGGGTGCAAAGATGAAAATTTTGCGGCTTGCCGGGTCAAAAGGAAAAGTATGCCAGCGGCAGGAAGGGGGCTTGATATGCCAGGGTCAAATAAAAAGGTCGGGGTCAAAAAAAGGGAATGGGCTTCAATAAATAGGGTCCCCCAGCTGAAAACACATGAGGCGGAAAGAGGACGGGACGTTTGGCATCGGTATTTGCATGTTCTGTCACATGGTTGCAAGATATTGAAAGGTTTCTTGAAGCAAAGCACACAAGTGCAACATGCTTGCATGGGCCGCGCACTTTTTCATAGCCAAGCATTCCACTACACTGCACAGTCTCCAAGCCCTTTAGCGTCTTCGCTTTCGGCTGCGGCTGCGAGTGCGGGATCGGTGGTCTCGGTCCTCCTTCCTGTCACGATCCTTGTGGTCTTTGTGATCTTTATGATCCCTGTGCTCCTTGTGATCCTTGTGGTCTTTGTCTCTTTCCGCTCGATCACCTCTCTCTTTCCGCTCTTTCTTCCTTCCCTCAGTCCCCCCTGCTTCTTCCGTCTCTCCATCTCCAAGTGGCAAAGGACCTCCAATCCAAAAGCGCCGATCAGAATCGCCCAACCGAAACACGCAAAACTCCCTGGTAAGCTTCTTCTTTGCATCCATGGGCTCAATGGTCTCCATCTTCTTGGTGCTCGCTGAGGTGTAGCGCTTTGGTGGTTTGCCATCCGAATCCTTGAGCTGATGCAATGTCATGCTTTCAATGGTCACCGGGCCGTTCACCGCCTTCAGGAACCATCTGCTCTTCATATAGTAAATGGCTGCATGCTCGGGGCGCACACCCTTGTTTCCATCGTAGACCATGCCATCAACCTCTTGAGATGAACCGAAAGTCACATGGGACATCTCATCGAGTGGCAAAGATCGACTGGTCGCATTGGGATCCTTTGCCTCTTCCATGTCGAAGCAGTACAACATAAAGGAGCCAGGTGGCGGGGCTTCACATCTATCAGGAGGTTTCCACGGAGGTAGCAAATCCTTGAATTGTTTCTTCTCTTCCCCTGGAGGTGCCTCAGCAAATGCATGCAATTGCCAATGCTGCTCGGACTGGGAGCTCCAAGCACACTGCAAACTTCTTTTGTTTACATCGTTTCATGAAATGCCGCGCCTTCTTCTTGAAGGGTGAAGGCCCCGACATAAATGCACATTGTGCCAAAGGGCCGTATGCCATGGCGATCTACAATTCCCGCCTTATTACGTCCCTGCCCCTTCCGGGTGCACCTGCCAAGGGTGGACACCGGTGGACTCCCTGCTCACTCGAGCCAAACACACTTTGGCCAATCGCATCAACCGGAACATCGTCCACTCAACAAGTGCACCAGCCCAGCTTCCACAAAACAACTGGTCACCTCACATCAAAAAACACGTGTGAAGCCGAACGCAACTGACTCGTGTCCTGGCTACTTCATCAAAAGTTCTCGTGTTCCGGCAGCACGGCAAGTAAAAGAGTTGCATATGGCACAAAACATGGTACCAAATCCGCCCGGCATTTGCCACGCCACGCTCTGAATCGTCAGGATTCGAGGCCGTTTCGTAGATTCAGTGGTCAGCTTTGCTGTGGTAGTGATGCGATCATCTGTGCCAACCTGCAATCAAACAAAACACCGTATGCTTGCAACATCGGCTTGCAACCATTGCAGTCTGTGGCGAAGTGTTGGAGACAGTTTGCCCATGGGTCAAGAGACGGATGCCATTGTTGGACCAGCGTTTGACATGCTTTTCAAATGCAATTCAAAATCCTACAACAAATAAGACAAGCAGAATAGTTGTGTGATAGCAGAGATTGAACGGAGTTTAGAGTCTGCCTCTCATGCCGGACCGAGACTTGTGGCCTGGCAGAGACACAAAGGTGAGCTGCGAAATACGACAGTTTGAGAAACAAGTTGAAGAGCCATGGCTCAAGATTGTGAGTGGAATGGTCACAATGCTGCAAATGGGAGGGCGCAAGGCAGTTTGTCGGAAGAACCAAGCAGGATGGCACAGCAAATGGCAAATCTGCAACTGAAGCTGTGATCAGGTGGCATACAGCACCCGAGACCCAGGTCGCAGGCCCCAGCAGGAGAGACTTCACAACTTCCAAGGGATGATCACATCCAAAATGAAAACGGACAAAACCACCATCTGATCCTCACTTGAGCACCGCATCACATGTCACATCAACACGTTATGATATGCATGATCACACTTCACATCATCACATCAAAATTCCCCACAAAATCAACACTTCCATTGGCCTTTCATCTTTTTGGGCACTTTTTTACCTTCCGTCTGCCAAGGATTGCGTTGCATCTGCTCATGAAGGAGGTTGTGGGTGTGGATGCATGCGCTTGGGTGAATGGTAAGAACTGTGGACGAATGATACGTTGGTTTGAATATGTTTGAATGAGCAGGGGCCAGATAGGGAGGAAGGGTTGATGCACGCTCACGGTAAGGTGTGGTGAATTCCTGAATTATTGAGTGGTGCGGCTGCTCTGTGCTCGATGTGGTAACGGTACACTTGCAGAATATATGGCATCTCCGGTCTTCTCTCACCCAGGTAAAATGTCCGATGTTCCTTTCCACACGCAAAACGGATATACAAGTGTAAGTGGACGCGATGCTGGCGGTTGCAACTCACAGCATAGTTACCATTTGTCGAACTTGGTGCATGCGGCTGCACGACCGGACAATGTCTGAAATGAAGCGTGTGGCTGTGCACGCGGTGGCTTGAACAATTAAGCGCAAAGGCACTTCCCAAAGCAATTCCCGCCCAAGAGAACAGGTCAAACAGGCGACAAAAGCTGGTTCCACCAGTTTAGAAAATGAAGCAGGGGCGCACATGTACCAGCATGTCATTGCATAGCAAATGTCCTTTGAACACAGCACGCGCACTCCCTTATCACACACTTACATACAATCTATCGAGCACCCCACAAACTCCACGTTACACTAGACAGAGGACATATGAACGCGATGGTTGTATCGAAGAGCACCACACATCCATCATCTGCAGGAACCTGTAGCAGTCAGCGAAAGCATGCAGAAGGTTCTCCGCTATTTTTTGCTCAGGCTTTTCGGGTCCTTATTCTTGTTGATGCAACCTTTGCAGCAACTTCACCCAAAAAGCATTGTAGTTTGCACTTCGTGCACCATTCCAAAGGCAAATCAACAGGTGAAACTCTGACTTTATCAGTTTTGCCTTCTTCGCTTCTCAGTCTCCTTCCTGGTCCTCTTCAGAGCTGGCAGTGTTGATGTTCAATGCCTGTGCTGCTTGTGGTGAGAGAACCCCAGAATGCGTAGTGTGCTTCACATTTCTGCGGGAGTTTTTCTTCTTGATCCGATTGTCTGCTTCTCGAATGGTTGGCGAGACGTCAGAATCTGCGGCCTTGTCCTCATCTCCTTCGGAGAAGAACATGTTTGATCCAGCAGGCTCCCCGCCATACTTCTCAAAAAGCTTTTGCAGCAGCTCATCAATGCCATTTTGCACTGTTGGGCTTGGCCTGCTCACCTTGCTCATCATCTTGTCCGTCAAGGATCTAATGTGCATGGTAATAGGTCGTGCTGGCGAACCATCTTGGTCAGCTTCTTGAGGTGCTGCCTCCGTTCCATCCTCACCATCTGCCTTTGCCTGATCACGGTTGATGCGGCGAGTATGGGGGTTGAACAGATCAAGCATCGATTTCAGTGTTCTTAGATTATATAGTGCAATGAGTGCCACAAATGAAGCTTGACAAAAGAAAGCATGCTCAAATCTCTACCCAGTCCTCTTGCTTGTTGACAATAAAGGTATGCTCAAGCAAATCCTTCGCGGAAGAGCGATGTCCTACATCCCGGCATAGAGAGGATTTAATGAAACTGATGAGCTGATCAGAGCAAGGAGCCCGTTCAGCTCTCTCAGTGGGAAAACATAGAGAGGGATGGTCTCTGCTGATGGCATCCTTCATGGCCGCAGAGGTCTGCTCAGCTGGGGAGTAAGGAAACTTTCCGTAGGAGAGCAAAAAGGCAACGGCACCTATTGACCAAATGTCCACCAAGTAGTCATACCCCTTGCTCAGCAACATTTCAGGGGCCATGTAGGGTGCTGTGCCGTACACGCCCTGTAACTTTCCGTTTACCGGCATTGCTGCTGCTAAGCCGAAATCGCAAAGCTTCAAGACAACATGTCCTGGACCTCCCCAAAGAAAGTTGTCCGGCTTGATGTCACGGTGAACGATCTTGGCAGTGTGTGCATGTAGCACACCCAATGCCATCTGCTTGAATATGTTGGACAAATCTGCTTCTGTCAAACCATCGACAGTCATGTCTAGCATTGATCGTTTGCACCTCTCGCATACCATGTAGTACAAGGAGTTGTCTGAAAAGGCCCTGTGGAGTTGAACCACGTGTGAGCATTCAACGCTGCAGATGATCTTCCACAAAGAAATCTCATCTCTTGTGGCTTTGTTCCGAGCACGACTGATTTGCCCAGTGCAAACGCCTGTCTTTTCATCGTAGTGCCTGACATCCACAATCTTCACTGCCAACTCGGCTCCGTTCGCCTTGTCCTTGGCAAGCCTCACCTGACCAAATGTTCCCTGACCAAGCTTCTTCCCAAGCTTGTAGCTCTCATAGAAGTTCACTTCCACAATATCAGTCTCTATTGCTTTACCTCGGCACGAGAAAAAGCGGCTGGTGGAACCTCTTCGTTCGATTTGTGCGAAGAGCGTACGTGAAACCCGCGCAGACCAAATTATTTTTCATGTTCATCATGTTCTGTGTGAACTTGCGCTTTTGGCAGCGGGTGGCCTCCCTCCCAGCGCTAACCACGCCATCTGGCGAGGAAAGAAAGGGAGGGAGCAAGTGGTAAGCAACATGCCCGTATCAATGAGACAAACCGATCGCAATGTTTGCAATGCTGGTGCCTTGAGTGCCTTGGTGCCAGTCATGCCTGTCTGAAGAATTGATGTGAGCTTTGCTTCAGGATCGCGCTGTTGGAAGGTACGTTACATGGCCTTACAGGGTGACACTCTGCGGGGGCTTTCGGCTTAAATCTGCTTCACGTCCGAACTGCAGTGGCGAGTTGAGCCTGTTGAGTTCTCCCTGGCTTGCTGACCGCGCCGTCAGATGCGTTACGGGAAGGAGCAAAGCTTTCACCAACTGTCCCGCCACAAGAAGGCATAATATAACTGCCGACCGGCAGGTTGCATCGCAACAACATGCGGACACGCCTTGTCGTATGCAATGCACGCATACGCACACTAACTCTATATCTAACCACGTGTGTTCATCTATGTTGTGCGAACGTGCGTTATATTAAAGAAATATTTTGAGGATACACTAGTGCCGACATTCCTCATAATTACAAAAGTCGACACTAAACACCGTGCAAGTGACAAGCTCCACATCCCATGGCCCACTTAATTAGCCGCTCCGCCAGGCTCGCCCGAAACTCTGGAGCAATGCTGCGGCATTAACACATTTCAAACCGAGATTGTGTGACCCACCAGATACAGTAATACAAGCGACTAAACATGCTATGATATGCTTCCATCTAGCATTACAGTAGCATAGTCTGCGCGCCCCGGTCTTTTGCACCTGCTTGTGGCATTGTCGCATGTTGTCTCTCATCTGTCCAGGGGTTGGCTAACTGAGGAAACGGAGGCGATAGAATCAAGCCTCAGCCTCCTTGATAGCTGCTACATGGTCAGCAAAGCAAACTCACCCCTTAATTAGTGTAGAAACCAAAAGCCGTTCACATCGTTGAACGAAGTTGATAATCATTTGCGATTCTCTTTCGAGCGGTTCCAACGTTTATGCCTTCATTCAAAACCACAGGCCGCAGGCCATCTCTTCAGCTTGGCGCCTCCAAAACTGATAGCCATCACATCGGTCATGTTTGTCATGGACATGGGAATGGCCCCGCGCTGACTTGTGGCACCGGTGGCAGTGTGTTTTGAAGTGTTTTTCTTCCGGATGGTTGCCTGCTTTGTGCTGCCTTCTTAAGAGGCCACTGCCAGAGTGTTGCTACAAGCCAACCAGCTGAACTTTCGAGGACGAATGATCCGAAGGCTCCTTGCAACAAATGATTACATAGTATGATATAGAGAACACATGAAAGAATAGGAACTGAAAACAAAGCTGCTGCTTTTGGCAACCACAGTCTCTAGATGTGAATGTGCACGTGTTGGAACTCGAACGGAACCGAGTTGCCCGATGACCCCCATTCCAAGGACATTAACTGCTAGCAAAATGACACTGAAAGGGAATGATCCCATACAACATCTTCATATACGAGTAATATCATCAACCAATCCAA